GTGTGTGTGTGTGTGTACCTGGTGGTAGAAGAAGTTGAGTGTAGGTTTGTCTTCTGTAAACTGCTGCACAAAGCCCTTTGGAAGATACCGGATCCTTAACTCATACCTACAGAGGAGAAGAAGAAAGGGAGAGCATTTTTCCAACTTCAAATCGCAAAAAACAAGTCTCGACCTTTGTATTCGTCTTCTGTGTGGTAAAAACCTCAGAATAAATCAGTTTAAGAAAATTACACTAAGTGGAGAGTAGAGCCAGGAATAAGGAATGTATGGTGGTACGGTGAAGGACGGGAGGAGTGGGAGGAGAAAGCGACAGAGGAGATAAGGAAAAAAATTATATGCAAGATGGCAAATGAGAAGACTGATGGCAAGATCAGTGGAGGAGAGACGAGAGAGTTGTTGACTTAGACAAACAAAGCAGGCATCTGGTTCTCTCCCTCTCTTTACGTCCACAGTTCAAAAGGTCTCCACCTCACAATAGCATTAGCACCACGACTGCCACAATAAACTTAATATATACCAGTGCATTAACATCCAAACTGCCAAACCAACACAACCACATCGCAACACACACATGGAATCCCATCACCATACAGCAGACGGGCTGCACTATTTTCCTTTACGTTGTTTGCAATAAATCAGTTCTGCTAATTTGGAATACAACAGGGGAGACTGCTGAAGCTAACTGTTTGAGGAGACAGTGACTGGCTAAATCTAAAAAGGCCAAAATAAGTAACATTTAATGTCTAGGAAACTGGTTATATATTGTCACCTCACAGCTTTTCTCAAATGTTATTTCCCTCAAGGACCTACATGCACCTGCCGCAGAATCTGAAGGCAAGTTGGACTACATTTTGTCTTTGAAATCTCAATAAATAAGGCCCAGCCACTACTATGCCTGGTAACGATTTGAGATAATAAAGTTTTTAGGGCATGTGTCCTGTGTCTTTTTCTGGCAGAAAAACACTGGCAGGGTGCTGGGTAGAGCTGGGATGAAGGACTTTTGCAGTGAGAGAAAAAAAAACGCAGGAAATAATCAGTTTATATCCTCATTTATTACTTGCTTATTAGAACTAAATGGCAAAATCATACCAGCAGCAGAGAAGGAGGGATACTGCTTGGCTGATAGGAACCTGTATGGTGTTAAAACTTTGTGGACTGCTGTTGTTAGCCTGGTAGCCACGCTAATGCCCGAAGTTTATGCTCACAACCCTTCGCACACAATTTCCTGTCCACCTTAACCAATCAAATCACTGAAAACCAACAGAGCTGGTGCCTAGTTTACAGTCTGAAGCAGTGAAACTGAACAAGCTTCAGCATACTGTGTTTGATATAACCCTGATATGTTATATTAGCACGACAACTCAATGACAACACATCGATCAGTAGATGACACACACATTCGTCTTCTCTCACCTCCACTCCTCGTTTGGTCGTGCCTGTTCATATTTCTCTCTGACGTGGGAAACACCCATATCGGGGTGGAGCCAGTGCACCTGGTCTCTGGATTGGACGTTGCTGAGACGTAAGCCAAAACAAGACGTCCAGCGCACTTTCTGGATGTCCAGAATCTTCTGGATGATTCCCTGGAGACAAAGAGTGAATACTTTTTTTTACCCACTTCGCCTGCACATTTACATAAACTTTAAGTTTAAAGAACAAAAAAAGCCAATAAAAATGTAATTTTGAACGGTTGCGAGACTAAACACTGATATTATATACAGATATTTCTCTTAGCACTGGAATATTCGGCTAAATTGGGCTAAGTTACAAAGCATTTTCCAGTCCTCCAGTGTTACTGTCCTCAACATGGCTGCTAAATAAACCAAAGATGCCCAGTGGACAAAAACAGTTCTATAAAGAAGTCAGTCTGCCATACCTCAGTGTGCCAACTATGCCAATGTTTATGTCTGGTATTTTGCATCAGGTCAATGAGGACATTAGTCTATCCATGTGTATGTCTGTGAAGGTGACTTGAAGCAATTTAACATGACATTCCCACCCAAACAAGTTGACAGACATCATACACACAAGGACGATAATGCTCACAGCACCATGTGTGTTGCCATGTAAAATGCTAGGGGGTCTGACCTAGATACTAAAGGAGAAAGAGGAGGAGAGGAGAGGAGAGGAGAGGAGAGGAGAGGAGAGGAGATTTGCAGTGACGTATCCCTATGACCACTAAAGTTTGAGCAATGCTAAGTAGTTTCTGCGTCATGGGAGTGGATCTAAAAGCATACTGCTAAGTAAACATACCCTAATAGACACGCATACACACACACACACAGAGTGTGCCCTGAGGTTGTATGTATTTGCTAGTAGAATATTCTAAGAGTGCTAAGTGTCCTTTATCAGAGCAGACAGCTAGGACCTTGAGCTGAGGACACACAGCAAAAAAAAAATTACTGCTGGGGGTAAAATGCAACATATAGGGGGTGGAGGTAGTGTCATGAAAACTAAGAAAAGAATAAAAGAATAAGACCAGCCATGTTTCTGGTTGACAACAAACGCCACAAACTGTGTGTGTGTGAGCCACAGCAGTTCAGCAGCCCGGGCGTCATACCTACTAAAAATCAGCACGTTAGCGTTGTTATTTTGAGCTTGTTAGTGTGCTGACATTAACGTTCAGCTCAAACCACCCCTATGTTTAAGTATAGCCTCACAGAGCTGCTAACATGGCTGTAGACTCTCAGTCTCAAAATGAAGCTTTGTACTTGTGACCCGTTTTTTAAGATTTACGTCTTCAGGACGAACAAATGGGCTTGGGGATGAGTGCCACAGACAGGGTGGGAAACTCTGCAAGCAGTTAACAACAGGAAAGATGTAGAATGACACCAGATGTATCCTTCAAGGCTGTGTCGGACTGGTGTTCCTTTTATAATTATTTTGAATTTTATGTATTTACTTTGTCGCCATATATACATTCGGTGCAGTGCGTCACTTCTTACCCTGACATCGGTTGCATCTCCATATCTGATATTGGAGGACCAGCAACTGTGTTCAGTGTTGGTCTCAAAGTGGTGGCAGACTTTCAGAACCCTGTCCACGGAGCCGGCCATGGTTCTGTCTGACCCCCCCGCGCTCAGCCGTGACTTGGCGCCTCCCAGGAGGGCATGGTTCAGGTTGGGGTCCAGGTAGGCCGTCGCCATGGTTTTCCCTGCTGACACTGCTGCTGCTAGGTGTCTGTCATATTCTGAAGAGGAGAAGAGAGCAAATCAGACATTGATTATATGAGGAAGAATAAAAAGCGTAGAATCCAAAGAGGGGAAAAGGACACTTTTTAACTCAATTGCTCAAATGAGAGTTTAGCCTGTAAGCAAATATTCACTACTGCCTCACATACATATAGGAGAAGATTGTATTAGGGCTAACAACAAACTAACAATTGTTTTCATTTTAACTGGTTATTATTTTCTCCATGAATTGATTGACCATTTAATACATTTTTTACCAGATTAGATTCAGATTTACCAGTTGTTGTTTTTTTTATACCTCCAAGGTAGAGATGATGTCTCCAAATTAGTCCAATAACCAACTTTCATTTTCATCATCAATTAATTTGCTAATTTTTTATTATGATTAACCAGTCGACCATTTGGTCAATATATAAGCTAATGACAAAGCTGACATCTTCACATTGCTTGTTTTGTGCAACAAAATCCAGTTATTTAGTTTACAATTACATAAAACAGAGAAATGCAGCCCATTGTCATGTCTAAGATACTGGAATGAACAAACATTTGCCATTTTTGCTTCAAAAAACATCTGAAACAAGTCAACAATAACAGTTGCGAATTATCTAATCAGCTCTAGTTTCTATAAAGTAATAATGGACTGATGATACATGTTTTCTCCTTCTCTCTGCTGTCAATTACAGCCTGATGCACTTGATGTAGACTTGAATCCTGCTCTTACTTGGAATAAACTTTGTACAGCAAATGTCTGTTTTTGAAATGAAGTTCTCTGGCAAGATGAAAAACACTGAACAATGAGACACGAGAGAGAAAAAGGTGCAGTCAGGGTCAAGGCTCAATATGTGAGCACCTGTGTCTGTAACACAAAGAAGACAATGCACCTCAGGCTGACGTTTTTCCTGAATAAGAAGTCACGACACTGACACACTTCCTGGAATTTCATGGTAATTTCATCTGGGAATGCCCGGCAAAAACTACCTCCTTCATGTCTGTGTGTATGAGCGTTTTAAGATGTGGGTTTTGTATGTATATGTGTGTGTGCGTTTGTGTGTGTGTGTGTATAGGAGTTCTCTTTCACTCTCTCTTTTCCTGCTTCCCCTTGGTCCTGTGCTTCTCCTCTCTCCTCCATTAAAAGGAAAATTGATATGTTCTAGTAGGTAATTACACCTGAGAGAAAGAGACTGACAGAGCGGATACACACACACACACACGCACACACCTCAGAGGAATGACTGTAAAGTTGTTAAGGGATATATCACAGTAAGATAAAAATGCACTCCCATGTTACTCTGCCAATTTTAAATGTTAATGACTTTTCTATCGACAAATCACTCCAATGGTTTTCAGCACTTTAACCTGCCTCTCTTCCTCTCTCTCTCACACACACACACACACACACACACAACTTCTTCAGAGCAACGGTAGCCTTGGCTCTCCACCAAGTCAGTTCCCATGGAGTCAGATGTCACACAGCGGAGAGGTTTCATGCTACTCGTGTTTGCGTTTCTGTGTGTGTGTGTGTGTGGTGTGTGTGTAGTGTGTGAGAGAGAGAGAAGGAGATTTCATTCATACCTCTGTCCCAACACATGGGGAAGGGGCTACATCCGCTCATCGCCATGGAAACACATGTCTGTCCCTCCCTGTGTCTGCCTGCGCCGAGGACAGAGTGACAGCTAGCGGCCTCACAGCCCCGCATCACGCACACTGAACTTCTCATGTGCAGAAGTTACGTAAATAAATACATGCGCACACACACCAAGGTCCTGACAGTGACGAGAACACGCTCACATAATCCAAACAAGAAAACAAACACACACACACACACACACACACACACACAAACACACACACACACTCCGTCTCCGAAGGCAAGAATCTTTGTCTCCAACTTTTGTCAACAGCTTCGTTAGCCAACAGTTACTTCCAGAGGGGCAACAGCAGTAATCCTTAAAGAGGCCAATTTTCTGGTCTGTTGGCACTTTGTCTGGAGTGTAAAGATGCGACCGAAAACACAGGGACAACTTAAAAAAAAACCCATCCTTCTGAGAGTGAGAGTCTTGTCTTCTTAATCTTTTCTTTAGTTTCTTTTCCTCGTTATCCACAGTTGCACAAGTGAAGAAAGATCCCCGGAGGTGTAGAGCTAGTTTCATCCACAAACTTCCCTCCTCTTCTCTTTCTCTCCACTTCTAAATTACTCCTCAGTGGCCCCTCTCTGATGACAGCACACTGTTTTTTTGCCCAATTTCTGCCCCATGCCTGCACTCCATAGTTACACAGTTGCTGTGGAAGAGTCAAGCGACCGTCGCTCAGGAGAAGATTTGGGTTATTTCACTCAATAGAGTCCCTCGTGATGGTGAGAAGAGTGCTCCTTCGGCAAAAGTTCGCAGCCAAGTCCAACTTGTACGGTGTTGATCCAGTGGAGATTCAGGTAGTTAGTGGTCAGAGAGAAGGAGAGACAATTACTGTGCTCAGTGATATACAAAAAGAAAGTTATCGTCTTCTCTTGGAAAAAGAAAGTGAGAGCAAAGAGTGAACCAGAAAAACAAAGGAAACAGAGACAGCGGGACAGGGAGAGAGAGAGAGAGAGAGAGAGAGAGAGAAGTGCAGCGATTGTTTCGGGGTGAATGAGAGGAAAAAGAGGACAGAGCAGCACAACTGAAAGAAAGTTGAGTGGGGAATGAGAGAGATCAAGAGAGAGAGAGAGAGAGAGAGAGGGCTGCTGGAGAAGCAGGAGGAGCCAGAAACTATTAATATGCTAATCTCACTAGTCTCTTGTGTTCAATGAAGAAAAACCCTCCCACTTCTGTTTATGAATCTGACCTCAGAACAGCCCTTATGTTGCACCATCATTGCTACCACAGCAGAAGCAACGCAAAAGGTAGAGAAAATAAGAGAAAATGCCTTTATTTAACCACTCAAAGATACTACCAGACAAAGCATATTTCACTCACTTAAGGTAAAAGCAAAAACAAAAATCCAGAAGTAACAGAAATCACAATTTCTGATCAGAAGGACAAAACCATCATCTCCCACTGTACATACGTATTACTGAATATCTCAATACTCTCCACTGTTTCACAGCTGTGAACTGCCAGATAAGGAATGCACATCTTTCTTTAAAACTAAATATCTTGGACAAAAAATAAATGCATCGCATGAAAAACGAGAAGAGCAAAGAAGAGCAGAAAAGATGATTTTTGCCAACACAGACGTTGCCCTGGCTGTGCCCAGCATGTCAACTAGCAGCTGTTAGAAACGCCAACCAATCCACTTCCAAGCCACAAGGTCTCAATCGATCACACTTCATACTGCACATTCAAAGTCATTCAGCCTGTACTTTTNNNNGGGGGGGGGGGGGTCATACGCTCTATCTTTCAGAGTGCTTGAGGTGCCGCCCTGAAGGCTCATCTCCGAGGCAACGTGCCGACAATAACCTCTGAGCGAGTAGCACCTATCTCTGTGAGTGTTACTGCTGACCAGATGCCTGCCTCCATTAATCAAAAGGACATTTATACGGCTGAACACCTCCTTGACTTACTGAACGCGGCACACAAACGCAAATGTACACAGCGAAGTCACAGAAACTTTAATGGAGTGTGTGCGTGTGCGCGCACGTGTGGGTTTTCTTATAATTTGTGCTCTAACTCAGGCATTGGCCATTGTTATAAAAATCTGGTGGAAGCAGGGGGGCTTTAGTGTGTGTGTGTGTGTGTTGTGGTTGTGTGTGATGTGTGTGTGTTGGGGGGGGGGGTTATTGAAAGCCTTTTGTCAGAGGGCCGGATGTTGCCATGAATGGGAAGCGCTCTTTTGGGACTGTGCCATAGTCTCTGTCTCTCTCTCCCTCTCTCTCTCTCTCTCTTTCTTTCTCTCTCTAACTATGTTACTGTGTGTTTATGAACACATAATTAATTTAGCAAGGGAGGGAAACACAACACCCACTACCTAATAAATGCAAATATAAATTCAAAGAGGCAGGTGAACCTCAGAACTGTAATAGCTTCTTTGATGTATCTTTGCATATGTTTCATCAGTGAACAATCCATGTGTTCGCATCGATGCCTTGGAGTTAAAATTCAAAGGCTATTTGAATTTCAAACATATTGTACATCATAAATACAAACAGGTTTTGTAACTGCTTGTAATGGCATCACTCTTCATTAAACTACATTATTATTTTGCTGCTGACTCGATCAGAACTACTACTACTGTTTTTTTTTCATACTTGTATGTCAAAGGTGAAGCTGAATACCACTGTCAGAGTCAACTTTACAGCTCCTGCTATTATTTTGTAATACTATAATGAGGTTGTAAATAGGTACCATTGTTCCTAAAATACAAACTAAACATACTTTTAACATACATCTTGACTACACACGTGGATTTAACAGTAATGTTTGTAGGGTCGCATGTTCTTGAGTTATTATTTCCTTGACCTAGAGGAGGAATAATTTCTTCCTGTGTCTGAGTCAAATGATCATTGGTATCAACAGTTTAACACAATCAAATAAATACATTGATAAATCAGTGTATCAGCCTTTTAATTAAGCTAACAAAAAACACTAGCACACATACTGTTATTACTCTTAAAACATCCTTTGGTTCTGTATTGCATGTTGTTATTTTCTTGCTTCCTCCTAGCTGGCTATGAGTATTGTGAAACACACTCACAGTGGATGGATGGTATGTAGAGAATGAAAGGTTGGAGGGAGCAAAGAGCTTTAAAAAGTTACACTCATTTAGCTCTGGATATGCTATTAATTAACATTTTAGAAAAAGATCAATGGGAATTGCTGGGCAGCTTAATTCAACTGATGTAACTGGCTAGCAAGGGCCTTCTTTTTCGGGGCATGACGCCATGACACATAAATATGTTTCCCAGCCTAGTTTATTTCAGTAATTAAAAGGGAAGAAAAACACCCTCAGGTTGTTGGAAGTTTAACTTGGACTGTCTTCAAGGAACATATTTTGTTTCTGGTATCTACAGTGTGGAGATTACAATTAGTCACACACTCCAAGGGGAGCTCATGTGTTCAATCTCTGCCTCAACATACATGCACAAACAACAAAACAACACACACACTTTCTCTCATCACACATATGCAATATATAGAATTTTCTTCCTTCCCTTTAGTCTCAATTCATGGAGCCACTGTGCCTGTTTTCTGAATAGAGTAGATGACTCCTACTACTATTTAGAGTACTACATTGCCCAGAGCATGTTCAGACTTTATAATCATAATTTTAAATTTTTCTACATAAACAGGCATATTTCCTTTGTCCTTGAGTTCAGATTTTTGATGGTATTTTTAGCAAACTATTGCAAAGATCATGAATGGAGTCTCAAACTTATACTCCTCGTATATTCCCCTACCGAGGACCCCTTGTGGTGACCTGACCACACCTGAGCACTGTGTAAGAACTGTGTAAGAGTGAATGAAGCAGCTGAATGTAGTAGGTGTGTATAAAACACAAGGGTCAGCTACTCACCTGTGTAGTAGGCAATCCTGGAAATATCTGAAAGACAAACATAGAAATAACACAGTTAGTTGGTTTGTTTCATTATCAGCCGCTGAATTAAGAAATTATCAGGTCAGAAATGTCACTGAAGTCTATGAAGCCACACAGCAGGTGTTTACAGTTCAGTTCATGAATGTGAATTACAGAGGCGATGCCAGTGCCTGCTGCTCAATATTTGTCAATATAAATAGCATCGATCAATATCCTGTCGACTTGTCGAAAGGGCATTGATTTATTTTTGTAGAATCAATATCCCATTGTTGTGTGATTTACTCCCACCCGAGGTATGCTGAAGCTTCACTGGTTAAAAGAGCTAACTGGGAAATGCCAAGGAACAGGTTTATTGTGTATTGGCTCATGCTCCGCAGCTGTGAGATGAGGATGTCACAGTTAGTGGGCTTCAGTTCGGTCCACCTTCTTGCCTTTGTTTAGTGGATACGCTACAACATACCACATGTGGTTGTACTCTTAAAGCTTGCAGAGTTCACATGCTTTACAGTATAACATCCTCCGTTTAAAGGCTAGCTAAAAGTGGCGGTCCTACTCCATTATTGAGTGTGTAAACTACATCATTACTGCAGCTCCCAAACGCTCACAGGAAGCCCCGGAGAAGCATTTTGAAAACTTGACACCCAGTTAGAGCAGTGATAGGGCTGTATGCCGGAGGAGGTCAGGAGGATAAGTGCCTAAGTGCTTTAGACACCCTGATTTGTACACACACACACACACA